ATTTTGGGCCTAAGGAGATGCAGTCCAACAACAATTTTTGGGCCTTTCAAGTAGTTGCTGAAATTGGGCCTGTGCATCAGAATTTTGGTCGCGAATTTGGTCAATTGGTGATCCCATTTCGCGCTGACATTCTTGACTTCGACGAGGATCACATTGACGGGCCAATTTACGACGGTCCGCCCATTTTTTATGAGGAGTCTCCGATGACGGGGTCGCGTATTTGCGACGACATGGGTCCAACGTTGAAGGACGCGGAGGTTGAACTATCGATTACGCGGCTAGCGGTCGGACCCGATTTAGGGCGTATCTTGGCCAACGATGGTTTTTGGGAGCCGACGACGAGGTTGAATAACTTGTCGTCCGTTTTCCAATTGTGTATCGCGAAATCTCCCATCAACGGGGTGGTTGGCCGTAATTTTGGATTTGGATGCGACGAACGTGGTGTTATGTTTGTTGCTCTTTCGGATGTGTGGGTTATGCGTCTGGCGACATGTGCATGTGCTTTTGCAGCACTTCAACCCTTGCCCAAGCTTATGTTTACCTTCGGTGTTGTTGGGCGTTCTTCAAGTTTCGTGTTCGATCGAGGACGAAGCGGGAAACACTTCTCCAACGGGAACGGCTCGGATTCGAGGGGAATCCTGCTCAACCGGGGGAGAATGATGCAGAATAGATATTATTATTATTATTATTATTATTATTATTATTATTATTATTATTATTATTATTATTATTATTATTATTTAATAATTAGTAGTAGCTTAGAGAATAAGCTAGGTTTAGTTTGTGAGGTTTATTTAAAGAATTCTTATGCTGTGTGAGAGGGGAGAATTTGTTGAATGAAAATAATTGATCGTGTTTTCTTTTGGGAGAGTATCCCGTGTTCTGGAGAGAGTATCTCCTTTTATCTTCCCATTTGTACACGCTTTCGCTACATCAGTAGTTTTATTATTTTCTTATTTTTTTATTTAAAAAACATACAATTTAATTTATAAATACGCTTTAATATAATCATACAATTTAATCATACAATTTAATTTATAAAAATCATACAAATTAATTTTTTTATTTAAAAATACGCTTTAATATATATATATATAACTATATATATAGTACTTTTTGTAATAAATTTGAATAAATGTGTTTCTTAAATATCTAAACAATTTAAAAATTCAAATGTTTAGATTAATTGATAAACAATTTATAAATCTCAATTTTATTTAAATATGTAATTTTATTTAAAATAATTTTAAATATAGCCAAATTTATTTAGAAAAATCGTATTGATCCTACAAGTTCAACCGACTGGTGTTGACGGATTTAATAGCAAATATTTTATTTAAGTGAACTAGACTGATTAAACTGGCTGTCGGTCTATCCGGTCGGACTGTGTCCAACACGGTTTAATTTAAAAATGATGGGTAGATCTTGATTAATTTATTTGTATATTTAATTTATAACACAATTGTAGTATTGTTTTCTGTGCATCGCATGTACCACGCGCTAGTTAGATAAAGATTAGGTACCCATATGCAATTCTATAAGTTTTTTAATATTGCATTGTAAGTCCTGGAAATTATTGCCATTATCAAAAGATTAATGAATAAATAAAAATGTTACATGAATTACATATAATTGAGTGCAGAAATGCACATTAGAAATACCATTATATTAAATATTATATGAAAAATATATTAAATATTATATAATTACCAATATTTAATGCACAAATAAATCGGTTATTTTGGTTTAGTTTTAATTTGATTCGAGA